GTCAAATTTTCTTGAAATGAACATTTGCTTTTCTTCAAATAAGTACCAGTAGCTCAATTTTTTGTATAAAGTGTCCATGATTAGATACAAGAACATTTACATGTACTTCAAAGAACCAAATTCCATCCCAAACCATTAAATGTGGTTTGTTCAGAGCAAGCAAGGAATGCAAGCCAATATCCAGCTGCATTTTAGAGGAATGTGGCCTGGTCAGACACCAATTTATATTCACAAAAAAGTCTTGTTTATATCTTTCATGCGAATGTAAAAGTGAAGCAAATTGATGTCAAATTTTTAAGCATTGGCAGGAAAGTTGGCTGAGTTGAAATGTGTTCAACTTTTGCAAGTTTGCAGCTCACGAATACTTGCATCTATACGATCTGACCTCATAAAGTTGTCTTCGTTTTGCTTTTGTGCCAAGTATAAACCAGCCTTTATCCTTTCAGGCCTCTTCAAACGAGGGTTTTACTAAGGAGATGAAACGTGTTGAATAATATCTAGTTTACCTACTTGACTCTGGCACCACACTGTTGAGTACTTACAGATATGTAGACTGAAAAAGCACTCCGTCAAGTATTCAAGGCAATTTGCTCACCCCCATATACAAGGCAGGCTGTCTTGATGAAATCCATGGCAACACCTCAGAGGCCATTCATCAGAAGTTTGGTATTAATCAGCTGTCTGTTGATATTATGTCTACTGACCCCCATGGGGTCTAAAAGTCAGACCACAAATAAAGACAAATGTTTGCATGAAAAGGAACATATGTAAGGCCTGTACCAATGTCCCTGGGCATTTACTTGCAGCTTGCACTTGTGCTGCAGTTGCTGTTGGTTGTAGGAAGTTGTAACTTTTTCTAAGCACATTTAGAACTTCATCACATGAGGAGTAAGAAATTACTAAAGGGTTTTAGTTTGAAGTGGAACTTCGCAGAAATTAAGGGGGACTTTTGGGATTGCTTGTTGTTAAAACAAGAATGAAGCTGAGGGTGACATGATGGCCATAAAATCCAAGTCACAATGGTTTTGTTAATACTAGTACATGTGCATGTATGTATGTGCATCATGGTCATTTGAGAAGAGACATTTGTGGAAACTACCAGTACTTAATGTGTTGACAGCAGAGCACACACTGCCAAGGGTCTGTACTGTACACGTACATGCTAAGGATGAAATTACAGTCCAGCATCTGACATTTTCCTCATTGAGGGGGAACATGTATGTACACGTCTGTGAACATACACGTCTGATATCACACTACAGCATCCATCCAACAGTTGCACTCGCCCTGGGCAGACCCCGGGGTGACTTTTGGTTTTTCATCCCCTTGTTTAATCCCGCTTGTTTTAGACTTGTTTCGTAGAGCCATATTATTGTATCTCACCCTGGGGCAAGTTCACTGGATGGATTAGCATGATTCTCACTCAATGTATCAAACTCTGAGCAGCTTCATCAAGCCCATCAACTGCCACCTTCATAAATGGATTGAACTTCCTTTTTCCACGAGTTCAGCATTATAAAAAAGTGCTCAACTCTTCACTGCTGCAATATAATGCAAAAAAAAACCCTGTTTAATCAGCTCATTTGCACGCGTAGATTTTGGGCACAGTGCCAAAATACACAATATCGGTAACAACGTGTATTTATGTACCAGTGTGCGGTAAATTCCCAGAAACATTACATGCAAATACATGTAAACATTCTCATGAACTTGCAAACTTTCAAAGGAAATGGGAAACAATTGAAATACTGGAAAAAGATACTGTGATGCCAAAAATTCTAAGAATGGCTTTGTCGGCAGATCAGGACCAAATGATGAGTTGCATCCTTTTTCCAGACTTGGGAGAAACAGGCCATGAAGCCCCTGGTCTATCCACAAAATTTGGTTTCAGCACCGTTATGCAGATGGCTCAAGTCGATTTCCTCTGGAAGTTGGGGTTGAACTTCTAAGAGAATATTTTGATTTAGAAAAAAAAAAAAATTTTTCCCTATAGCTGGTTCGGGGGGGGGGGAAATTTGATTGCAACCCCCATCCCCTTAATTCAAAGATATACAACATGCCATGTGATGTGGCAAAAATTGGATTTCCTGTGTCGTATTTATAGAATTAGGGAAATTTTCCCAGGGAGGATGTATCCAGCTGACAAAATGGCAGGAGATCTTCCAGTAGCCATGGCGATTTGTCATTTTCAATTTGTTGTCAAGATTATAGTCTCCTTCACTTTCAGTCATTCTGCCTTATACATTGACATCAAAATAAACTGTTCTCATGTACAATTTGACTGTAAGAACTTGCCCAATCCAGTTGAGTGAGTATACAGTATAAGCCTAAAGCATGACTACGGAATACTGTATTTGTACCTGATGTGGTTTGAATGTACATTACAAACTTTTGGAAGATCTGAGGTCAACAAATGGGACAATAACTTGTGAAATGAGTATGAGTTCAAAAGCTGTGTCATTCTATAAATTTGGGGTTCAAATACATGTATGTGACGTTTTTGTGTCCCCTGTTACACCTGACCTGTGTAATTTGACATGAACATATCATCAGATTTTCAAACTATTTCTAGTTGTTTGGCAGGTCATTTGCATTAATCTGTCCCTCTTGAAAATTACAGAATGTTTTCTGAACTTACAAAATCACATGTCAGATGTGACAGGGACACCAAAAATTGGACGCCTAATTTATAGAATGACCCAGTTGCTAAAGTTACAGACCCTTTCATTTGGCACAAGAAGAATTTGTCCATGTAAGGAATGGTACACTTTTACCCAAATGTCTAGAGGTGCATGCAGATATAGGCCTACATGTACATGTATATACATGCAGGTGAATACTCTGTAGATACTGTAATGTACATGTACTAGTCGGTGTGTAAAAGAATACTTGGCCTCAGTATTGGACTTGATCACACCAAAAAAAAGTACTTGCATGTCAGCTCTGAGCTTTGTTGGTTGTAATTCTGGTATATTTGAAAGACTTGTGACTGATTAAGTCAAATTTTAAATTGCCTTTAAACCCATTGTAATGCCGGTTGGATTTGTCCACTGTAAATTAAATCAAGGAAGAAACAAGACAAATTAAGAGAGGAATAAAACTATGGTAAACTTTCTCAAAGTAAAGGGAATTTTAGTGCCTGAATCTTTTTTTGCCATTGGATAACAAATAGAAATACATTCCAACTCAACCCCAGTCTCTGTAGTAGCCTTCAACAGATCTGGTGTCATTTTGTCAGTTTTAAGTTTGTCATGGTTTGGTATGAAGTGTATAAAGAAAATTTCATTAACAGCAGCAGTAAAAACAAAGTTCACATGAACACCTTGTGGAATGCTACGTGTAGATGTATTTTAGAACTTTGATACAAAATCCTGTTACGGAGCGCAGACTCTGAAATCCCAAGTCTCCTGAATTCTTTCTTTTTTTCCCCTGCCCATTTATAAAAGTTCAGGTTAGGTTTGGTCAGTCCCAGCAACATTGTTTAGAATTCAAGGTATTTCTGCATACACAAAAGTTTGAGCTTAGTCCAAACTCAACTTTCTCTTAAAGCCAAATATTTGCCCCAAATACATGTAACCATTTCAAAAACTGATATTAATTTCAGTTGACTGTTCAGTATGCTAGTGGAGTCCTTGATTTTTTCATTAGTTTCCTAATCCTTACAAAGTTAGCTGCAAAGCCTCCAAAATTCACAGCTAATTTCTACCGAAGTGGAAATGGTCTCAGTCACCTCGGGGCCACATTTCCCCCCCTCAGTTAATTCCTTGAATGCAAAAAATAGCTGCGTTGTTTACCTCTGGGCCATACCAGCACAAAATGATTTTTGTGGTCAGCTTTTTGCCAGTCTCTTCTGGGGCTGTTTTGTTCTCTCAGTGGGTGGTTGTCAGCTACAGTTCTGTTGTGGTCTTGGCCCAGCTCTCACACCGCCAGGTCAGGCAGAGAAGTCAACCTTTTAATGCCATAACAAATCTTACTCATTCGGTGATCCACAGAGGTTTTTTTTAATGATGCAGCTACCATAATCTTGTTTTGACTTTGTGTACTTTTAGTATAGACAAGTACCATGCCTAGCCGACTGGCCATACATCAAACATTTTATTGCTAAACTTTGGCGAGATTTTTCAACCACACTGGAGATCCATTGAGGAGGAGTCTTGGAAATAGAGATGAAGAGAAGACCATGTGCTGTACAGTCAGAAAGGGGAAAAAGTCCATTCAGCAAATTACTATTTGTATCCCTGTTGATAGTGGAGGATTTTGTTGTCACTGTGAGTTAAATGTAATTTGCAAAGTACGGCACGTGTAAAAAATTCACAGTGCCTCCTCACTGGTGATAGTGGCATGATAATGAAATGGAATGTAAGGGAAGAAAGAGTCTGACTGTTCACCTTCGGTTTAACAAGGGCCGTTTTCCAATACTCAACTTCGTCTCCGTCTCAGGCTTCGGTCCCCGAAACCAATCCCCGATTGTAGGCCTGAGGCATTTAAATATTATTGGATATCTGCAATTTTTGGCTCTCTTGCATCTTATTTGATGAGATGAAAACAAATTTGGGGAAACTGATTGACCTTAATCCTGAGCTGTCTTTCTTGAGTTGAAGCGTGATTCAGTTCCTACGTTTCCTTTGCAAAGACTTCAAACAGAATGGAATAGGGATAATACAGTACAAAAACTAAATTCTGGATTTAAGCCAGATTGTACTCTGGTGAAATCATTCTGAAGTTTCACTTTTAATAAAGTTAATCCTTCAAGCATGAGAAAATGGTCTGGCACCCCCTGTTGAAAAGTTTTCATTACATAAATGTGCATTAGGGGAGGAAGGTTTAACCCGCACCCTACTTGTACTTTATAAATGTTTGTAATTTTTTAAAGGAACTTCTTAGGGGCTTGGAAAATGGTGAGGGTGTGTCTGTAGTTGTTTTCTTGCTGGTAAATTGCAAGTTATCAATTTTGCTTTAAAGAGAACTTTTCTTTTTGTTCCTTTTTTCCCTGTGGACAGGTGTAGTAGCCTTGCCAACAACCACAGCTGTATCTGTGTCAGTGTCATCGTCCTCGCTGTCCTCTATCTGTACCAGGGGGAGTGAGCACAGTCGGAGCAAGAGCTGCCGAGGGTGCGAGATAAAGACCAATGGCAGCCTGCAGGAGATCAGCCGGGCCGTGGAGCAGAGCTTGATAGCCACATGCGTGGGGAGCATCGCCGAGCTTGGTGAGACCAGCTAAGTAGAATCAATGGACAGCATAAATATGACTGCACATGTATCTGAAGCCGATTTCATGAAACTTAGAATAACTTTGCACCCCGCAAAGCTTTAATTAGGCCATGGATTTGTGGCTCAGCTGCACAGTGCACTTACGATCAATTTCACAAAAAGTTCTGTAGCTGACCAATGTTTTGATTATAACAAGAATGCTGGAAGAGAGTGATCACAGCCGTTATATGATATTCTTGTGATGAAATATTACACCAGCTTTACCCACCCTTCCATCTTGAAAGAGTTTTTCTTAGAAAAGTTAATTCATTGTCAGAACTGGGAAGGAAATAACAAATTTCCTTCCATGTCAAGCAATTTTTTCATTTATCCTCCAAGTAAAGTCCATTTCCTGTGTTAAACTTCCTTGATAAGTTGAGCAATGATGAGCCTTAGGACAACCATTAATTATTAGTTGGTGAAACAATCATCCAATTCCTATATGTTTGGCATGTAACATAATTAAATTAAGTTACACCAAAGTTACACCATGATTTGTTGCACAAGTCACACTCCTCAATAGTGCATAAGTTTCATGTTTTCGTCAATTGTGAGTTGTTGCGTAAGTATAATTGCATTAACATGTGGCCTAAGCAAAATGTTTGGTGAGATCTGTTGCTGCCACTGCTGTATGCGCGCGATCACCCCCTCGCTGGCAAAAAAGAAACAGGTTGGGATGATAGTCCAATGCCATTGGCATAGTGCATCCAGATATTTGCAGAAAAGCTGGCGTTTAATCTATGGCAGGCATGCACTAACTTGTCTCGCATGGGGACTGGCAGAGATTGTGGCATGGTAAAAGAGGCTGCTTATTTTGATCATGCATATAGCCATTGGGGAAAGACAGACCTGAGGAACATGTTGTCTAATTTCCTTACCACAGTGGCCTGAAACATATAAAATGGGTGTCATTGTGTGACTAGACCAAAAGGATTTCCTTTTGAATTGTGGTAATTATCAGAATTGTATCCTTTCTTTTTAATATTATCAAAAACAAAGGTTTCTATGAAGAGCAGCTCATAGCAGTACATGAGGAGGTTGTACATTAACTGTTTGAGACAACGTCATTTTGTGCATGGATATAAAAACCTGCATCAACACAAAAGTACACGTTAAAAGTGCCTTCAGTCTTACTGCAATGTACATGTATGTATGTAAGAATGCATTGAAAATGAATTGCATCAAAATGTGTCCCTTGGACAAGCCCTTCATCAAGCTCAAAGGACAGCCATGTTGATTTTAAAACAAGTTGGCGCTGTGCAGGTACACTTGCTAATTTGATTACAATTACCTGTGCATTGGGCTCTCTGCCAGTGGAAATCCCCAGAAATTGTGTGAAAAGCAATGGCTATCCCATTATAGTGTCATATGACATGTGGTTGGGATTGTCATGTGATGCGGTTATGACTCGGCCTCATGTTTCCATCGAATTTCCAGAAGTTACTGGGGACCAAGAAAAAACATTGAGGAAGTGAGAGGAAATGGGCTTAGTGCCTCACGGCCTTGCACTTTTTAAAGCGAAAGATACATGTACATGTACGTTCTTGATCAAAAAAGTTGTAAGGAGTGTACAGTGTACGTCAGGTACGGTACATGTAGTCTCAAACAACCTGTAGTTAACTTTTAGTTGAGCTTTATGTACTTTTTCACCAGAAGTACACATCACACATAACTTTTGCATGAGAAGTTTGCATTATTTTTACTTTTCAGGGTATTTTTGTTTGTTTTCATATCGATTGTTGTTGTATTGCAGTCTGTGAGCCGAGTTTCTTTATGAGTTTGTTTTTTATGCCTTCAAAGGTGCTCGTGTTTTTGTGATACTTTGTGTATAAATACCAAATGGCAAACAGGAGCAGCAGTGGCATTCACGGATGTCAAGTTTGAATTTAAACTAGGGCCCTGCACTTTCAAGGCAACTTTTTTATTGGAGGGCTGTATTTATACTTTCTCTCTAATCTCTCACATTGTTTTATGACAGTATAACGCTATACCAGGTGTTATCAAGTCAACTGCTTGTACATGTATGGATACTGCAAATGACCATGAGTATTAATTTCCCACCCCCCTTCACTGCTGCCTTACATTTATAGGTCTGTGGTGAGAGTTTGGTTTTGTTATTCTACATGTAGCTCTGGGTTTGGGATCTTGGTCTTACATGTACATGAGGGTTTGATTGTGTTGTCCATGGCCCAGAGTAGGGATTTGAGTCATTCCACATGCACGTTTAAAATTGGTCCAGGAGGAAGGAATCCAGAAACAGTTTGACACGCTACTTGGAAGGCAAGCTTGTAAGAATTCTCAGCCTGTGTGTAATACGCACTTTGAAGCCTGCAACATAAGTTTTCGCTGGGGAGGGGAGGATTTTTGTCACTTCTTACGTGACTCTCTCCATAACTTTGGTGCATTGGGCAGCAGGAGGGGAGGGTGGAGCCGTTGGAGGGAACAACATTCAAGTAACCATGTTGTCTCTTTTGCAGGTGACCTGGTGTGCCGAGCCATGCATTACCAGCAGGGTCGGCAGAAGATTCCCAGTAACCTGAATGGCCGGCAGAGCACGACGTGGTCCCCCAGTGCCCTGCACACACTCTTCTACTTCATGCGCTGCAGTCAGCTGGAATACAGCGACAATCCCAACGCAGACCCACCCATCATCCAGCTGAGCCCTGAAAGGTAGCCCAAATAGTGGTTTCCCACCTGTGTGAAGAGCTGTGAAAAGCTTTTTCCACTCAGGGAAAAGTGGGTCCAAGTTTGCAAAATAAAAACGCATTCCCTAGAAAGAGAAAAAGTCTGTAGAGAAGTTAACCTTTCTAATTGCAATGTACATGTACTACTGATATCCAATCCTAACCATGCAACCCGAAAACTTATAGGTGGTGAGTTGTTGCATCTTTTTTCACCAGTTAACTTCTTCAGCCAAGTTCAGTGTGTTGCATTTTCTTTTCAGGCCCTATGTGGTGCTTCCTCCGCTGATGGAGTGGATCCGAGTGGCTACGGCTCACTGCGAGCACCGACTGAGCAGCATTGTGGACAGCGATGATGTCCGGCAAGCGGCCAGGATGTTACTGCCCGGCATTGACTGCCCTATCCGACCACTCAGGTAGCGTATGGTACCCAGAGAAAACAGAAAGTTTGAGAAAAGATTGCTCGTCCTTTAAAATGTTGATACTCACAGCTACTTGTTGAAATCTGAACTCTCTCAAAAACTGTCAAACAGCAAAGACCAAGCATAAAAGAAAACTGAAAGAATTTGAGGTCATTGTTTTAGGGTGTCATTTGACTTCACCAGATAAGAGGTGTATGTCTTTATGTTCACTCTTCTCCTTAGTTCTGTAAGAACACCATGATTTATTCTCCTGTCTCCATTTCTCCTCCAAATTCCAGTTACTGGAAATATCCAACCTCCTCTTTCCTACATGTAGTTTGTACTTCAACTTTCTTGAGTGAAGACGTTTGTTTTTATGAGAGTGTCATTCCTGAACATTGCACAGAGATGCTTTCCCTAAACTTTATACCCATGAGAAAAAATCTGACATACACGTAGCGGTAGGTGCATGTACACATATAATTGACATGCACAGAGGTTGGTGCTTTGTTTTTTGTTAGGAGATCATAAACAGTTTTTTAGTCATGGGTTTCCAAGATGTGTCCAAAATGAGTGTTATGGAAATTAAGGACTTTGTAGAACTAAATACTAACAAAATGCGTATCATGTTGGGAATGAATTTAACAAGGCACAAGAGTGTCCTTGAGTTGGTACCCCTAAAACACCTTCGGTGGAAATGCAAAACAACTGGCCAGGGTGAGTGTACCATGGGCAGGTGCTAATTGGGGGGGGGGACTGCTCACAGTGCATGATGAACAGCAGCTTCTTCAGTTTGAACCATGATCCCAAAACCACCCGCACATGTCAACACCCTGATATCAGCAATATCGCCCAGCCATGCGAGGGTAGATTCTGACAATGAGAACAACAATCACCCTGTGGCTGGTCAGCCTCGCCTCCTGCACTGAGCTGTGTCAGCAGATGGAAAGGGCATCATTGATGACGCCTTGCAAAAGTTAAAGAGGCCAACTCCATTCAGTGTAGAAACACAAAGTGAACCATGCATAGAGAATATAAATTTACCTCTCAACAATGGGGTTCCCAGTTTCGTGGCATTGCTAGACATGGAATTATTGGCTTACACGTACAATAGCAATTCTTGGTCAATCAGGACAACCACACTCTTTGCTAACCTGTGAAAAATTGGGTACTGCTCATTGGCATATTTTCTGCTCTAGTGGAGATTTCTTTTCAAACAATCAAACTAATGAAATTTATGATCCTGGTGAACAAAATGTTATATATATATAATGTTGAGCATTTTCAGTTGTTGATCATAAAAATACATGTAACTGTGGAAAAAGATTTTGCCATCTCACGGTCAGGCTCAAAGCTAATTGTACGGTACAACACCCCCCCCCAAAAAAAATGTTTATCAGTGAACTTTGTCAACATAAAATGAAATTATGGCCACACACTCAATAATACTTTGATCACAAATGTACTGAAATTTTGGATTTATTTTCTGCCCAATTTGATTTTCAGATTATATATTTTACCATTTTCCGATTATAATATTTTATATTTTTTAATTCAAAAACCAGTACAAACGAAAAATTTGTACCACTAGTCACAAAAATCATTGCTTCCACACACCAAGCAAAATATTTGTTGTTGTTTTTCTGTGATAACATGTACAGATCCACTTTTTATATACGAGTGGCAAGTGCTTGTTGGCATATGTCATCACATAGATATTACTGCCACAGCATAAGCCACGCTAGACTTGATCCTGACAGTGTGCTGAACAAATGAACAATCACCTAGGGCCAGTCAGGCGCGTCTTGATATAGGCAATTAGGTGTAAAGCACTACCACAGGATGACACCATGCCTGACACCTGCCATGGTCAGTGGGTCAATGGGCGAGGGAGCCGGTCCCCCCCCCACAGATGCACCTGGCCTTCTTGGGGGTGGGAAGGGGGAGGTTGGTGGAGTATGCTGGTTTCCAATCAATCGGCAGCCCTCTGCCCTTTGAAATTCAGAACAAGGTCTCAATGGAGTGGTTGACTGTAAGCAATCTGATACGTGTGATTTTTGTTCTGCCCTGCCCACATGTACATGTACAAATACTCTTACAGGTACATTAAATGTCCATTTCATTTATGATGGGCATAAATTATCACGTTAGTAGCAGAGGCACATCAGGACAAATTTTCAAGGGTTCATTTCATCAGGGCTTCACTTTTAATGGAGTACTCAGTGAGTCATGCAAGTGAGTTTCCCGTGCAAAAAGGGCTCTATCATTCCAAATTCCTGGTAATACCACATACGTGTTCTGTAAGCATTCTAATAAATTCCTGACGTGAATAATGGTCTAGGAGCAGAATCACTGGGTTATTGAGGGCTTAAGCATTTGCTTTTTCATTTGCTAGAAGCAGATGACCATTGTTTCTCACTTAAAGCACATTAGAAACAATTGATTTTCTTCTGAATGGGTACAAAACTGCATTGTCTGTGTATGGGGGCAGCAGGCTATGCTGATGTGGTATGCCCATGTTTTCCACAGGAAACATGTACTTGTTACTTGCAAACATACATGTAAACAAGGTTCTGAGGAAACATTGCTTTCTTTATGCATCCAGCACTGATGAAGTGGTGTGCACTTCCAGGCATCTCAATGCTCAGCAGTCAGCTCTCAGATTCCAGCAAGACTTGGGCTTCCGGATGCTGGCCTGTGGTAGGGCAGACCTGGTCTCAGAAGCTGTCCGTCTATTGGGCAACGATGGAATCAACACAGTCAGTGAACGGGTATGTGGCAGGGATACAGTTCCACACCATAGTACAACAAAGGCTTACAAAAAAAAAGAAATTGACGGTGTTAAAGTGAACCATATGCCATTTTTCCTGTTTAGGATTTATTTAACAAATTTTTTTAAAGTGCCAGATTCTTCAGGATTCCTGACACCTTTTTTGAGATTTGCTACATCACTCTACCTGATGCTGTGCAAACTATTGTTGATATGATTGAGCTTTATTTCAAAAGGACAAATGACTCATTTTGCTTGATCGCAGGACATAATGGTGTTGAGTACCACCATAGAATTCAGTGGCTAAAGGGGGAACTTGGAAGGGTAGTTCAGACTGGGATACAAGCCATGTATTTAGGCTTGTGGACCCTATAGGCATTTGCCACACCCTTGGTCATCTCTGGCCAGAAATGGACCACATTTCTTGATATGAATCCCAATATTCTTCTCACTGTGGGCAAATCTAAAAGACTGGTGTCACAATGCATTTGTCTAAGTTTATCATTCCAAGCAAAATATTTTTGGAGTCGTGTACATGTAGCTGCTGCTGATTCCGTATTCAGAGCAATTGCAAGTAGGGCTCTGATGGTGCTCTTCCCAATCAAGGTAAATATATCATTTACCAGCAGACAGCACTCAGCTGAATCATCTTGTTAGCAAACTCCGCTGTCCAAACACTGTAATGGGCCTACATACTTAAATTAACTGCAGAATAAACACCACAAGATCAGCATAATTGAGTTGGTAGGCTTTCATAGAGTCTAGCCTTGACCTGCTGCTCAAGCTGGTTGGCCTAATTAAATATATCATATAACCAGACCAAGAGATGAAATGAGTGCAGAAGGCATAACCCTATTAAGTTGGTAGTACTTAAGCCTTTAAAGCCTGCAGGAAGAATGTGTGTGTACTTCTTGAGATTTGCTGATTTTGACTTACGATAAACATAGGAGATTTGAATGTACACATGTCTATGAGAAGGACAACCAAAACCACTTTTATGGCCCCTGATATTTAAACCCGAAGGGTTTGTTTATTTTATTTTATGTTTGATTATTTCAAGAGCTTTTATGCATATTTTGATTGCTTAGTTCATAGGGAACTTGAACTGTTGACTTGTAGGGCATAGGTTTTAGGGATCAAGTCCTTGTGCGGTCAGATTTTGTTCTTTCAATCTATTTCCATTGTGATTTTTTTGTTCTGTTTCAGGGTCTAACTCCACTCATGTTTGCGTGCTCAAGAGGAGATGAAGCCATGGTGCAGATACTCATTAAGAATGGAGCTGACGTTGACCAGTCGGTAAGTGCCAGTGACGAGCTCATCATTTCGTGTGTGGAGAGTTCTTTTTAAGTTTGGGAGTCTTGGTGATGAGTTTATTGTCTGGTGAAGCAATGGTTCAAGATTCTGATGGAGCGTGTGGCTGAAGATGCCGGTTTTTTAAGTCTTTGTGATTTGTTCTTTTTTTGTCTCGCCCAGTTTTTGTAAAGCTGTGGTACAGATGACAATTAATAATGCAATAGACCTTGATCAGTCTTTCAATCTTATGGATGGTGTGCATGAATTTGTTTCCCTGTCTGCTTGCTTGTTTGATGTTTGAAGTTTGAAGAAGTCGCAATTCATACTTCAATCAAGAACGGTCTTGAAGTCTTTGTAGTAGGTTTGTTAGTTTGTCCTTTTGTCTTTCCAGATCTGTTTGTCTCATTTGTATTCTCTTAACATTTAATTGAACTTCAAATCAGAATTACTTCATGTCGAAGTCTTTCTAATGAGTTTATTGTTCTTTTTTCGTTTGCACATTAGCATATCATTGCATGATGTACATGTATAAATCAGTGTGGCTCGTTATATCCAACCCATGCCTCTATGGTTACCTGTCATTTTCCTGGTTTCTTCCCCATTGGCAGGTTCCTAGTTCACACACCAGTCACCCCTGCATACACCCAGCCATCAGACATTGGACTGCTCTCTCCTTTGCTGTAGTCAATGGAAATGCGTCCGTTGTTCAGGTATTAAATCTTTTCTCATTCATACATGTATTTCTGGTGAACCCAACATTGCAATAAATTTGACACCACAAAACATTTGAAGTGAAATCTGCTTCCTTTGAAATGTGTTTAACTTCTGAAAATTTGCAGCATAAATATTTGATCCGATGGCTCAGTTTCTGTACAAAGATTGATCACTTTCCTCCATAGAGCAGGTCTCTTTGCACTTTCTAAATAAGAATGCCATGTGCAGTCCAGGGTACCGGTGATTACACTGCAAACTTGATTGGATTCTCTTCTAGTTGCTGTTGAATGCTGGTGCTAGTGTTCACGGCTCAGTAGATGCCAGCGGCGACAACTACACAGACACTCCATTGCAGCTGGCTTCAGCGGCAGGTAAGGTCTAATTCATTGCATCTGCCTGAGTGTTGTGTATGAGATGATTAGCTCAGTTCTGTTTCAGTGCTAAGTGTTGCTTTTCGTAACACTGGTGTTGAACCCTTTAACACTTCCGGGCCCCATTGTCAAGTTTGGTTAACAAGAGAGTACCTCTGCTGCATGTGTGTGTTGGCAGCTTGAGTCGACAGTGAAGCCCCTCACAGAGCATACAGATTATCTGACAGAGATAACCGCAAGTCAGAAAACACCACCCACGCTGGTTAGTTTGTAGCCTAAATTCAATGTTGCTATGTCTTTACATCCAGCCCAGTGTAGGCTTGACTACAGTAGTGTATTTAGGCAGCTACTGAAAAGCCTATATTCACATACGTGTGAAATCAAAGCATGGACATCAGAAGTGGACTCTGTGGAAGAACTGCCCTGATGTGACATTCCTCAACAAGTCTTGAGGCCACTTTTCCAGTGAATTTATTGTACTTTGCATTTTGAATGAGCAAGCTACACGTACACTCTCTCTCTCTGTTTCTTTTTTTTTTTAAAGCAACATTATGTTGTTCAAAATTTTCCAATGAGTTACATTTGGGACTATTAGAAATATGGTACACATGCGGGATACATAAATGGCTCGGAAACACTGGGTGGTTTAATTGCAGGCTTTGTGTGGTTATATTATTCCACACTCCATAGGGAGTGTCCATTTCACATGAATATGCCAACATTGTATGTATGCACGTGAAGGATTTTGAAAGAACTGCACAAATAACTGATATAACTATTCAGCTTTTCTGAGGCACACATGCATCCACACCATTTCTATAATGTGCGAGATTCTTAATTAAGTGGCTCTGCTTTCCTGCGACTCATTTAGTCAAGTTGGACCACAGTTTTTGAGGATGTCTATTTCTTGCTTGCAGGGCATTATGAGATGGTGGCTCTGCTCCTGTCCAAGGGTGCAGATCCTTACCTCACCACCGTCCACAAGAATGGGATAACCACCAAAGGTCACGATAACTCATTCGCCCTGGCTGCAGCTCATGGCCATAGGTAAGGATGAGTCTGTCATAGTACAATGGATGCCCCTCTCCATCCCTGCAGGAATTGGCAGTGGCATTTTGTTGATTCTTGAAGGGAAAAAGGAACAGTGAATCACCCAGCACACCGATTCACCAGTTAACTTTTCCTTGAGGGCATCGGACCATTTTGCAGTTTGAATTGAAGCAACTAAAAAGAGGGACTTCCGGCTCAGGCAAACTACCAAATTCTTGCAACTTTTTTCCTGCAAACATGTCAAGGTGGAAATGGTATCACCTCCCTGCTGCTGAACTTAGAAAGTTCTGTATGTAGTGCTGAGGGACACTTGAACTGGTCCTCATGCTCGAGGGATATTTCTTCTGAGTTTGAAGGTTCAGCATGTGTGTCGCCCTCAGTCAGGCATGAGTGGGCAATGGCTAACACATAAACACAACATAGTCTCAGAGTTTTGAAAAAGTTAGAAATGTTGCACAAATCTTGAAACAATGACGACTAAAAGTCAGCAATCGTTAAGTCCAACTTTGTAAAGTACTCTGGTTGCAGTATCTTGTCATTTTAAAAAGTCAATTTTTTGAAGGAGAATAATGACATTCCTGGGATAACTGCTATGTGGATGAATACCATTGACAAGTCATTCAGAGACAAACACCTGTGTACTGCTACTTTTTTTCAGGAATGTGCTGAGGAAGCTTCTGGAGCAGCCACGGTGTGTGAAGTCCACCGACATCCTGTCCCTGGAAGAGATCTTAGCGGAGGGGACGGAGCAAGAGCCGCTGGCACCCAAGATGCCCAAACTGAAGAGGATGGGAAGCAAGAGCAAGATCACATTGGCTCTACAAGTAAGGAGTGCATGAGACTCGGGGAACCTGGCAATGGGGAACTGATAGGGAGGGAAACCTAGCAGAGAGGGTCTCAAGGGGGACATTGAGGGGCCCCTGTTACCCAAAGGTACCCCAGCTGGAGGAAGAATTAAGAGTAAGGTCACATTGACTCTACGAATAAAGAGAACATCACAGTCAGGGTAACAGGAGTAGGGAACTGTTGGGAGGGAAATCCAGTTGAGAGTCAGGGTGCCAGGAGTGAGGAACTGTTTGGAAGGAAAGCCAGTTGTGAGGGGGTTGAAAGGGGTATGTACAAAGGGGAGATTGCAGTTGACCATGCTACACCAAGGTGCCCAAGCTGAAGAGAATATGGAATATGAGCAAGATCACTCCTGACCTACAGGTATAAGACAGTATCATAGTCGGAGAGCCGTGTACTCTACCACAACTTGAGGCAAGTTTGAGTGATAGTTACAGTCAACTACTATTGATGGTTAAGTAACAATTGTCTTGTTTACTAATTTAATTTTTGGGACCAGGCTGTGGGGCACACTTACAGCACTGGCTATCACTGGTTTATTGTTTAGAATGTGAACAAGTCAATCTAGTAAGCCAACATTCTTTAAGCCATAGACAGCACAAGCAAGGTCTGGTTACTCGAGGTCTTTTCTCCTGAGGTACAATGTACCTTGCTTGTTTGTTAGCTTGTTAACTCATGGCACATCACATTCTTGTTATTCTTCCTCCATTTTCAGGAAGCGATGTACCACAGCTGTGAGCACGGTTACCTGGACATCGCCATGGAGCTGCGCAGCCTGGGCGTGCCATGGACCCTGCATTGCTGGACGGAGTGCCTGGCCACTGCCAAGCAGCTGCACCGCCTGGCCATCATCCAGTGCCTGCTGCGGGACTTCGGCTCCATCAAGTTGGAGGAGTACAGCGAGGAGTTTGTGGAGGAAGGGCTGGCCATCATGTTTGAGATCCTGAGACAGTGCCGGGTGAGTTTTGGGGGAGAAACTTTATAAGCTCTGGGGTTGTTGTGACAGCTAGTTTATGCAGATCATTTGGCATATGTGTCATTGCAGACTCTCTTCAGTGACCAGAATCAGAATTTTTGGCTCTGAAATTTTGTGGTTCCAAGCCTCACCTTGGCTATGTCACTGGCCTGAACAGACTCGCAGTCTCCTTGCATAGGCACAGGGCACATAATAGCAGTGATATGTAGCTGTCTTTCATATCTTGCTACATGTACATGTAGGTGGACTTGTGCAGGGAATTCCATATAACAGCAGTTAATGTATTATTTGTATGGTAGTTCTATCATAACTTTCTGTGCAGAGAAAGGTTGTCACAAAAAAGTTATGGACAGTTTACTTTGCTGATGTATATTGAGAAATTAATATCAACAAATACTGAAACAGTCTGGATGATATGAAGTTTTGCTTGCAGTATTATTTGACTTCAACAAATGAAAGTTGTAGAATGATCCCAATTGTTTGTGTTCTTCTGTTGCTGCATGGATTCTAGTACGTTCATCCATCTTACTCGCGGACCATGCAGACATTAAAACGAGCCAGGCGAATGGTGATGCCCTTAGCATTGTGCCTGTACATGTTGCATGATAAGAGTTTTTAAATCCATCATTAGTTTGTAGTCAAAGTTGGTCGGTTTCTTATAGCTGCTGTGTGGTCTGTAGAATGTTGCCCTTCAGTGTTTCTTATAAACCCTCCCCTTCATCCTAACCAGCTTTGCATGCCCTGAACATCTTTGTTTGCAGTGAGCTATTGGAATTCCTTCCCGTAGTGTATTGTGGTTTTCTGCTCTCAATTCATTTTCAGTTTTTCCTGTGTAATGAGTTTTATTTTCTTTTTGATCTGGTGAAGCACTTGTTACAAAATGGCCTCTTAAAATAATGCACCAGTTTACTTGTTATGGTTATCTGTGTGTGAATCAAACTGAAATTCGAACTGAATAATTTTAATTATGGTTGACTTTTTAAACCATGCTTTTTCCTAGACAAAATCTTGGTGTCAGGTTAAATTTTCAGTTTCATGCAGTTTTTGATAATTTTGTTCAATTTGTTTTTTGCATGAAAAGTGTTGTAAATGCAGGCCTGTCTAAAATTCCCCTTTAGTTTGATTTGCTGGGATTTGGGGCACCTTTGACATCTTAAAATTCTTGAGATTTGGACAATTCTCAACTATTGTACATGCTCCAGTTCAGCGGTAAATGTTTTTCAGAAAGTGTAAAAAATTTGACTGTGAGGAAAAACATTTTTTTCCAACATAAACTTGTAAAGAAGTTGGCCGCAACCTACCCAGATCTTGTAAAATCCATCACAAAAGTTTTTGTTGAGTTATTCTGAATGTGAGGAGATTGGACTAGAAAAGTTGTGGATTTAAGATATTGAATCATCAGGTTTTGCTACTTTTTACGTCGTTGTACATGTACATGCACAGAAAAATTAAATACAAGATTCATATAATAGCTATCTTTAGAAAATTTATCTGTTGTTTGTTATTATAAGCCCTCAAAAGTCAAAAAGTTTTGATGAGATTTGAAGCTTTTCATGGTGGAAGTAGCAAGTAAACAAGATAGGTTTGCGGTAGCACCTGGGATATATCTCTTTTTGAGTATGTGGGCTTCTGAAAAGAACTGGCGATACTCAATGCATTCTCCTGACGATGGACAGAGCATAAAGTCTGAAACATCGAGTACCACCGTTTCTTTTCAGAACCCCATATTCAAAAGAGATATATCCATGGTGTTACTGCAAACCTATCTGTTTACTTTCAAAGTGTTTGTCATCATTGCAATATGTCTGCTTGATGTTCTGTTGATTTCTCTCCATCCCTAATCTTACCACTGTCAGATTTCAAAGAATTGAAACCATTGGTTTCCTGCACAGTAGAGGATTTGGGAGGATTAGGATTGATAATGATGACAATTTCCTTTTCCCCTTTGGTGCTGAACAGAATGACGTGATCTACCAACAGCTTTCTAGCATCTTTGCCTCACTGTTCGGCGATGATCCAATACCAGCTATCCGAGTGGAGGGCTCATCACCCACTTCAAGAATAGGTACACTGTAAGCCCTCTGGAAAATTTTCTAGACACGAACATCACTTGAGACCCTACACACAAACCCCTTAAAACTGATATGAAAAAAGTGCAAAGTGTTTTCTATTTTATGATTCAATTTTTTTGTGCTTTATAATTTGACTTTTTAGGGCATGTTATCACTTTCCGAGGACTGGTACCTTTCTGCAGGGAAACGTAGTGATGTCTGTGTACAGAATTTTTGCTGAACCTTTGAGTGAAGCCTTCACACTGAGCCTTGAAACTGTAGACAAATCTTCCAAGTAATATACATGAACAGCAGCAAGAGATTTCTGTTCAGAATATTCACGTGCCAAGCAAAAATCTGTGCAAAATCTGTCAAAAGAAATGCACAGTTCATATTTCACTTTTGTACGGCAAGCAAAATAGTATGCTGTGAACCTTCCAGTACCATTGTGTCATCTAGGCCCATGTTGTTTGAAACACTGGTCCTTGACTTTTCCTGTTTTTCACTCCTCTTTCCAAGCCTGCTCCCAATTTGGGGCAGGCCTCCTTTATCTTCTTATGCCAAACACTCTGGTCTTTGCATTGTGGCGCTCAGGCCTTTGGCTGTTCCTGTTTTCCACAACATCCTGAAATACCGCATATGAATGAAACGGAACACTTGTGATGGACATGCCGTACATGTGCGCTTGTTTATGGCTTTAGAGATCAGAGTATGCGGGAGTTTTATATGAAAATGTACCAGTACCAAGTGTCCCCGCCTACATGTAGATGTATGGGTGCCAATGTGTGCAAATTTTCGCCATTCAAGTCTTGATATGTTATTGGTGTACATGTAATAGAAGTAAATGTATTCAAGTCTCAGCACACCAGCTACATGTATCTCCCTTTGTGTCACCTGTGTAGGGGATGGATGTTGAAACAGTCAGTAGTACAGAGCACAAGTGTCTAAAAACCTTGCAGCAAGCAAGGACACTAGATCACAGTGCTAACCTCTGATAGTCAATATAAGGAACAAACTTCAAAATGGTTTTACATGTATCAGAAAACTAATTTGCCCCCAAATCCTGATATCCCCCTATTGGATTTGGATGTCAAAAGGACTTACCTGGATATGTATGACCCATCATGATCTGCAGTTGCACAGGTGCAGCCTCTTAAGACCTAAAGTGATCAGTGTTGTTGAGTCCATCACAAGTACCTGCAAGTCCATCACAAGTCCCTGCAAGTCCATATCACAAGTCCCTGCAAGTCCATATCACAAGTCCCTGCAAGTCCATCACAAGTCCCTGCAAGTCCATCACAAGTCCCTGCAAGTCCATATCACAAGTCCCTGCAAGTCCCTGCATGTCCATCACAAGTCCATATCACAAGTACCTGCAAGTCTATCACAAGTCCCTGCATGTCCATCACAAGTCCCTGCATGTCCATCACAAGTCCCTGCAAGCCCATCACAAGTCATCCAGTCTAAAGACAATTCACAAGCTCTTCAAATGATATTTGATATAAACATTCCTTTTTCACTGTACACTGTACACCCTGCTGCCCTGTGATTGGTCGTAGGAAGGACTTGTGACTAGACTTGTAATGGATTTGACTACACAAAACTGAGAAATATAAAAGGGCTGCGTTGCTCCTTGATCAGAATACTGACCAAAATATATACAGTCAGTGCTCTTAATTTGTCTTATTGCCGAGTTTTTGGTGACTGAATCTGCTTGCCCTGACAAAGATACATGAACCCAGTTACCGAAAGCTCAGCAATAAGATAGATTAAGAGCACTGACTGTATTTATTTTCGTCAGCACGTGTACATGTACACAACACTGATACCTGTTTTATAAGTTTTCCAAAGTGCATTGTGCACAATTAATAACCGAAGTGTGCACAATCTGTGAAACACCTCCAGATCCCCAGTATGTGAACAACCAGGAGATGTCGGATGTAACCTTTATGGTGGAAGGAAAGCCGTTCTTTGCCCACAAGATCGTCCTAGTCACCGCCTCCAAGAGATTCAAGGCTATGCTGTCCGACAAGTTTACAGAGGGCAAACAGCCCTGTATTGAGATCAGCGACTTCCGCTACAGCACCTTCAATGTAAGAATTGGTTCACTACTCCCACAAAACCCCATAGGTTCTGATTTGGGCATTCTAAGTACAGAAATTTTAAAAATAAAAAAACCCCACTTAAACAGGTCATCAGCTGAAACGGCATGTGATACCACAGTATTTGTTTTGATTGGTTCACATCTACGTTTTACCTATTACCTAAAATTTGCTTACGGATACAAGTGGCCTGCACTTGGGTGCATATGGCCTTGTGGTTAAGGTTTTTGACTCATGTGACAGAGGGTTGGGTTTGAATCCATTTGCTGGACCTTTGTTGTAGCCTGGGGCAAGCCACCTCACCCATACTGGCCGCTCTCCACCTAGAACTATATGTGGGTACCGACATTAGCTGGGGAGCAACCCTTGATGAACTGGCATGTCCCATTCAGGGGGGGGAATAGACATATTCATGGTCATTTCATGCTGAGGAAGCCACAGATAAACATCGGCCAGACGAGCCAAACTTGGAACAGACTTGCTGACGCTATCAAAGAAATTGTAGCCTCCGGGTTGAAAATGTCAAAAAATTGAACTTCCAAATGTTTTTGTCTTATTTTTGACAGTTGGTGATGCAATACCTGTACTTTGGCAGCACAGATGCACTGAAAGTGGAGACTGATGAAGTTCTTGAGGTATGTGAGGCCTTTTTGCACTTCCATTTTCACTGCATGTCCACGGAACGAAGGCTAAGACAGCATGGATTAGTACTGTTCAAGCAAAATAAAGAAGCAAATATATTATGCACAGGATGTAGTTTTAGATAGAAAGATATCAGCTCTCTCTTTCCCTGATACCTACATTTTAACAGTGCCTCAGAGGTCAAGTGCTGCTTGCCTAATGACTTGAGGTTTTACCTCTCGGACATTCCTTCCTAATTTCGAGATTCAAGCAGTTCCAACTTTCCAGTTTGAGGCTTATTGGTTTAGTTTCCTTCAATGAGGTACCGATGCATAACCACCTCCAGAACTCTTTCCGCTCAAAATGAAATCCTCTGGGTGGTTGTTCATCTAGATACAGAAGATTGTGACGCAGTTGCTGGAAGTTAGCATATTTAACACTGGGAAGAAATTTGTACTGAGTCGTGTCTGGTTATTGCTCATGTTTACAGCTGCTGGCCGCTTCCAGTTTCTTCATGCTAGAGCAGTTGCAGCAATACTGTGAGATGTTGTGCAGTCGCATGCTCACGGTCAACACAGCAATGACCGTCTACAAACATGCCAAGGTGAGTTGGACTGTGCAGGCCTAAGCAAATCAAGTGGAGTGGAGAGCTGGTCCTGTACAATCCATGGTCCTGCCCCCTCCCTTCACCCCCCTGCCTTCATCCCCCTGCCTTCACCCCCGCTCC